TCCCTCCAATCAATAGCTTTGTCTTTCAGGCTTCTAGAACTTTCCCCAGAACTTTATATACATATATGTATATAAATATATATATATTTATTTATTTCCTTTTTGGGTTATATCCGGCGATGCACAGGGTTTCCTCCTGGCTCTCCACGCAGGAATTACTCCTGGTGGTGCTCAGGGGATCATATGGGATGCTGGGAGTCGAACCCGGGTCGGCTGCGTGCAAGGCAAACGCCCTACCCTCCGTGCTATCTCTCCAGCCCTTCCCCAGAACTTCATGATAGGGATTCTAAGGCAGTCTCGGGTCGGTGTGAAGGAGGAGGGCTGAGTGGCCCTCTTCCGGTGCACCTTGACTCTATCCTGAGCTGAGGTGCTGAATCTCGCCCCCCTCCCCCGCCCCGTCCAGGTTTCTCATTGGCGGCCAGGCTACTGGCTGGTGCTCCCAGGGCTGCCAGGCCATCGTGGACACTGGCACCTCCCTGCTCACCGTGCCCCAGCAGTACCTGAGCGCCCTGCAGCAGGCCACGGGGGCCCAGGTGGACCAGTACGGACAGGTGCGGGGGCCCTTCTCTGAACTCTCCCTGGGAGCAACTGCGTAGACAGATTCTGGGCCTCCATGAACTGGCTGTTCCTTAGACTTATGGGTGGGGGTGCTGGGCGGCTGAAGGCTGAGAGGGGTGAGGAGGGCCCCCACTTGGCAAATCTCCAGTCCCTCCGGGGAAGCCGGTCTCACACTTGCCAGGCCCTCTGGGGTGTGAGACCCGAGCGCCTGCCCCTTCTCCTTGCAGATGGTGGTGAACTGTGACAACATCCAGAATCTGCCCACCCTCACGTTCGTCATCAGCTCGGTCAAGTTCCCCCTGCCGCCCTCCGCCTACGTCCTGAATGTGAGTCCAGACGCTAGAGGGAGCGGCTCAGTCAGGGCAGGGTGGGGAGCTCGGAATGTGGGCGCCATATCCCAGCACCTCGCCACGTGACTGTTTCTCCCACTCTTGGTTTAACCTCCTGCTCGGGACTCAGCAGGGAGTCCACGATGGATGACAATTTCCTGGGTTTTTTTTTCTTCTTTTTGGGTCACACCCGGCGATGCACAGTGGTTCCTCCTGGCTCTGCACTCAGAAATTACTCGTGGCAGTGCTCGGGGAACCATATGGGACGCTGGGAATCGAACCCGGGTTGGCCATATGCAAGGCAAACGCCCTACCAGCTGTGCTATCACTCTAGCCCAAAAATTCCTTATTATTATTATTTTTTTTTTGGTGGGGGTGATCACCCCACCTGGCTGTGTGCCAAGCCAGCGCCTTCCCTCCTGAGTTCTTTTCCCGACGCTGGGTGATAATTCCTCAGCTGGGGGAGCCCCTTCCGGGGCATGGAGATTCAGCCAAATGAAGGAACTGGCCATAGCTAGTCCAAGCTAGTCCATAGCTAATCCAAGGTGGACTCCAAGTGGGGGTGGCGGCTCTTGGTAGACCCTGAAGAACGTTGCCTGGGCCACACTCTCTCATCCAGACATCCCTTTCTCTGGGGGTGCCACTGGGTGTCCTGACCTGAGAGCAAATGAATGAATGAATGAACCTGCTTTCTTCCTTCTTCTTTGCTCTCTTTTTTTCTTTGCTTTGTTTGGGGGTCCCACCCAGCGGTGCTCAGGGCTTACTCCTGGTTCTGCACTCAGGGATTCGCTCCTGCCGGGCTCAGGGGGGCCACATGGGGTGGCGGGGATCGAACTCGGGTCGGCGGCGTGCAAGGCAGCGCCCTCCCCGCTGTGACCCACCCTGCTCTCTGTCCCGCAGAACAACGGCTACTGCACCCTGGGTGTGGAGCCCACCTATCTGCCCTCCCCGACGGGCCAGCCCCTGTGGATCCTTGGGGACGTCTTCCTCAGGTCCTACTACTCCGTCTACGACATGGGCAACAACAGAGTGGGCTTCGCCACTGCTGCCTAGAGCCCCCACCTGGATGCCCCGGCCCTCGGCCCCCTCCTGGCGCCCCGGCCCACTCGGGGCTCTCTCGGATCTGCCTCGCCAGGGCCGACCCTAACCTAGACCCCAGCTCCGTTAATAAACAGCTCTTCACCGCATTGGCCGCCTGTGGTCCTTAGGGCGGGGCTACCGTGGCACGACGGGCTGCAATTGGTCGGAGGGCTGGAGAGGGCGTGTCAGGCCAGCTGGCCACGCCCCCTCCGGTTTGCTGGGCACTTTGGCGGTGGGTCCCTGAGACTCTTGAGAGGAATGGGGCTGGGGGCTGGAGAGATAGCACAGCGGGGAGAACATTTGCCTTGCACACAGTCAACCCGGGTTCGATTCCCAGCATCCCATATTGGTCCCCTGAGCACCGCCAGGAGTAACTCCTGGACAGGTGTGACCCAAAAAGCCAAAAAAAAAAAAAAAAAAGGAATGGGGCTTAAGCTGAGATCGGGACCGAGAAATTGTGCAGGTGTTAGGGACCGAGAAATTGTGCAGGGCCCCCAGCTGTCTCTAGTTTGACCCCCCCCCCTTCCCCGCACACACACGTATACACACTCTGCATATGGTCTCCTGAACACCACCAGGAGTGATCCCTGAGCCCAGAGCAGGGAGTAAGCCTGAGCACAGCCAGGTGTGTCTCAAAAGACAAACAAAAAAAGATGGAGTTTGGGGATGGGCTCTGTGCTCCTCAGGGCTTAGAGTCTGTGTGCAGTTTGCTCCTGGAGAGGGAAGATGAGAGGGAAGACTGGGGGTGCTGGGTGGGGTGGGGCATCTTTCCTTGGAGAGGGAAGATTGGGGGCTGGGTGGGGTGGGGCATCCCTTTGTGATGGGCTCCAATCACACCCACCTAGTCTGCCATAGGCTTCTGGTGTTCCCAAATCTAGGTCCAAATCAGGGGTCGAGGTTGCTGGTGACAGAAGTTGGATGCGCCCTGGGAGGGGGTGCCCCTGTTAAGTTAATGCCCTGGGGGGGGCATCGGAGGGTCCGGACCCAGTTTCACCCATTTACCCCCATGTCCCAGCGCTTGTGTTTGAAGATGGGCCGGTCTTCAGCTGTGGACAAGAGGTCTGGCTACTCAAATCCTGTGCAAACAAAGTCCATTTGTACTAACCGGCTGCTCCAGTAGGTTCTTGCCCCAGTGTACAGGGAGTCAGTTTGATTTAGGCAGGTAGATCCACCGACATCAAGTTCAATAAGCAATTCCTGGACACTGGCAGGGGGTATATGAATACAACTCATTTTTTGGTTTGTTTTAGCCACATTCAGCAGTGCTCAGGGCTTACTCCTGGCCCTGTGCTCAGGGATCACTCCTGGCAGTGCTGTGGTTGGGAGGAGATTAAACACAGGTCCACTGTGCAAAGCAAGTGCTCTATCAGCTGTGCTGATACAGCTGAGCCAGGCTCTGGAAAGTATTAGATGCCTCCCATGAAGGCTCACTTTCCCGGCCACTGCAAGCTGAGTGGAAGGCTGCTCCCTGGGCTTCTGGCTGTAATAGAGGCTCTCAGGACCTTCCACTCCTCTTCAGGTTCACTGAATTTGCTGGAGTGGTTCACAGAACTCAGGAAACCGGATGGATTACTCACTAGATCACCAATGTATTAGGAGGTTATTATATCTCAGGAAAATCAGGTGGAAGAGAGGCAAGGGCAAGGACAGGAAAGACCGGGGCCCCTAGGACCTCTCGGGATGCACCTTCCTCCCCAAATCTCTGTCAGTGTCTCCAAGTCCCTCCTTGTGGAATCTTCCAGAGGCTTTCTTACCGAGTCTGACTGATTATGCTGTTGGCCACTGGCAATGACTGGAACTTAACCTCGAATTCCTTTTCCCTTCCCTGAGGTCAGAGGGGTGGGGACTGGAAGTTCCAGTGCTCCAAGCACTTGGCTGCTGTCCTCAGTAGCAACCTGCTCCGTCCTCAGATCCTTCTCCAAAGGTCACCTTCGTGACACAACAGAAGACCCCACCTTGAGCTCACCTACACTGAGGGAATTTGAAAGCTTTTTTGTAGTCTAGACCGGGGACAAAAACCAAATAAATGTGAGAACTATATTTTGGTTTTGTGAAAGTCCAAATATCCAACACACCTATGTGTGTGTGTGTGTGTGTGTGTGTGTGTGTGTGTGTGTGTGTGCTTTTCATAAACCAAAATACTGTGTGAAGTGAGCAAGAAGCCTTGTGGACTTCATTTCTGAGCTCCTTCCTGCCCTTCTTAGGAGAAACCTAGCAAAACCCCCACCAGTAAGCTGGCCACCAGGGGTAGGGGTGGAGAGCGGAACAGCGAGTGGAGAACGGAAGACGGAGGAGGAGCAGCAGAATGACGGCGTAGCACCTGTAATTTACAACAGGAGAAGATGACTTGTAGGAGACGGGAGGCTGCCCATCCAGCAAGTTGGTGCCAACCAACGAGGCCTTGCATGGGAGGGCAGAGCTGGGGAAAGCGGGGGGGCTGCAGGTGACAGCTCTCATTCCCCAGAGGGGCACCCCCGACTCGCTCCTGAGAGCCCAACAACCCGGGTCTGGCCCGGTGCAGACGTTTCTCGCGGCGTCGGGTCGTGTCCACGACACCAAACACCACCAAGCTCGAGCCCTGCGGTCAGGCAGGACGCAGGAACCAGAGCAGGGGGTACTGGCCCGGGCCCTCTCTGCGGGAGGAGAGAAACGAGCACCGGAGGCAGGCACGGAGAGGTACCACGCAAAGGGGACAGGTGGGCTCCCGAGCGCGCGCGCGCAGGTAAGCGCCAGGCAGGCCCGGGCGCGCCGAGCCGGACTACAACTCCCGGCATGCCCGCGGCGGAGCCTCCGCGTGGACTACACCTCCCAGAAGGCTGCGGGCGGGGCGGGGCGGGGCGGGCTGCTGCCCTCTGCCGGGCGCGGCGGGAAGTGGGGGTGCGAGTGACAGCGGGGCCGGGGCGCGGGGCGCGGGTGACAGCGGGGCCGGGACGCAGGAGGCGGCGGCGGCGGCGGCGGCGGCGGCTCAGCGGGGCGCGCGGCCGGGGCGGGCGGCGGCGGCGGCGGCGGCGGCGGCGCGGAGCTCGCGGGCCCGGGCGGGGGCGGCGGGCGCGGCTCGCGGGCCGGACACCTGAACTTGGGACAAGTTGCCGGAGTGGCGGGGCGCGGGCGGCGGACGGCCTGACCTTCAGCGCGAGGTGAGCGGGGCCGGGGGCGGGGGGGCGCGCGGCGGGGCGGGGTGGGGGGCGCGCGGCGGGGGGGCGGGGGGGCGGCGGCGGCGGCGCCCCGACTTATGTAACCGGGCGGGAGGGGCCGGGCGTGGGAGTGGACCCGCGGGGGGAGCCGCCGAGGGCCGCGCGGCCGAGGGTCGGGGCCGGGCCGGGCCGCGCCCCGCCCCGGGCAGTGTCTGCGCGCGTCTCCCCCGCCGGGCGCCCCGCGCGCGCGCGCCCCGCACCCCCCACCCCACCCCACCCCACCCCGAGCCCGCCGCCCCCCGGCCGCGCCCCGGGCGGCGCCTCGCGGGGAGCCGGCCGCTGCCGGCCCGTCCCGCCCGCGGCCCGGGCTTGCTGGCCCCGCTCGCGCCGCCGCCGCGGCCCCGAGCCGGCCGCCCGGCGCTGCCCGGCGCTGCCCGGCGCTGCCCGCCCGCTGCCCGCCCGCTGCCCGCCCGCTGCCCGCCCGCCCGCGCTACCTGGCGGCGCGCCGTGGGCGCTGCGGTGGCGCACCTGGCCGGGCGGCGCCGGCTCGTGGCCGCCGGTCCCCGTCCCGCCCGAGGGCAGCGCAGCCCCGGCGGGCGGCTCGGGGGTGCGTGTGCGTGTGCGTGTGCGTGTGCGGGGTCGGGTGCGCCCTGCCCGGGTCCGTTGCGGGGCCGGGGGCTGGCCGGCCCGCGGGGGGCGTGTGCCCATGTGCACCGGAGGCGCGCGCGCGCTCCATCTGTTGCGCTCGGCGCTGCCCGGGCCTTTCCCCTCGGGGACCGTCCGGATTTGCGGGCGGGGGTGGGGAGGACTCTCTCCGGGGGAGCCAGGGTGTCTGGGGGGCTGCGGGCCGTGCTCGGGGCCGTCCCGGGTTCGCGCCAGATCAGCTGCCCGGAAGCTTGCTCCCTGCCTCAGTTTCCCCGCAGCCTCTCTGTCGCCCCCCCCCGTCCCCGCCCCCGGCCGGAGGCGGTTTGGGGCGGCTCCCTGGAGCCCCGCCGTGTCGCTTCCAGGCTCCAGGGCCTGCTGGCGTCCCAGCCCTGGCCTCCTCTTCGGTGAGGGGCACCGACCGCGAACCCGGGAGTGCTGCTCTGGCACCCGGCAGGGGACACCTCCAGCGGGTGCCGCCTGGTGGACTGAGGACCCGTGACTCATAGTCAGGTGGGCAGGAGCCCATGGAGGCTCCTGGGGAAGTGGACGCCCCCTTCCTCTCACCGAGCCCGGGAGGCTCCCCAGCCTGGCTTTGAGGTGGAGGGAGCACTGGCCTGGTGGAAGGGTCAGCGGGCCCGCCCTCCCTCCCGGGACTCTGATTCTGGCCATAATTGCCTCATTAGCTGCAGTTTATAGCTCCCAAGCACCTGCCCCCAGGGAGTGGCCAGGGCCCCTGGGCTTCTGCCCCTTCTCTTCAGCTCAGTGGGGGGGGGAGGGGGAGTTCCCCTGCCTGGCAGGAGCACAGCACCACCACCACCCCCAGTTGGGCCTTTGTCCTGGGGATGGAGGACAGTCGGCACCTGGGGCCCCCTGGAGATGACCCTGGGATTCGGGTGGGCCTCCTGAGACTGCAGGGAGGGGCAGGCCCTGAGCTGTGTGTCCTCCTCACAACCCAGGGATGCCCTGTGAGGCCCCAGCTGGGAGGCTGCCTGGTGAGGGAGTGGCTGGGAGCCTGTGGGGGGTGGGGTGGGGGACAGACGTCTGTGCGCTCTATGTCCCAGACCCGTGCATCCACCTCTGAGATCCCGGTGTGATGGCCACACGACAGGGTGCGGAGGGAGATCCCCCTTTTCCCTCTCAACTTGAGCGGAACAGTTTATAGTGAAGGATGGGTATGAACCCCCGTCGCCAGCCTGTCTTGTGTGTCCGCTTTAGAATGAGGTAGAAATGATTTTCATAGGACTGATTCAGAGGGGTTAAGCCGTTTGCCTGAAGTCACCCAGCACCGGGGTTTGGAGTCTTCTAACTCGGTGCCGTCAACCTCCAAACCCGTGCCCCGTGTAGGCTTCTCTTAAAAGGTGGAGGAGGGGTGGGGCTGGAGCCGTGGCACCAAGGGGCGGGCACTGGCCTGGCACATGCCCGACCTGGGTTCCATCCCCGGCACCCCTCAGTCCCCAAGCACCGCCGGGAGAGATCCCTGGGTGCCAAGGCAGGAGTCCCTGAGCACCAGGCTCTTCGCCTCCACACGGCCGGGACCGCAGCCCGCACCCGCTCGTGGATGGCCCCGACGTGTGGGAGGCGTGTCAGATGCATGTCCTGGGTCGTGGGCCCCAGAACCCATGCCCCACTTCCACCGGGGGCCCAGAGGCAGGGGAGGCGCGTGGGGTGCATGGGGTCCCGCAGAAGCCCCCGCAGGTGACCCTTCCTCTGTGGGGCCCTGCACGGGGAACGTCCCCCCCGTCCGGCACAGGCAGTGGGGCCGAGGAGCAGCCGGAAGGGCCATGGCTGAAACCTGAGGACGACCTTGACTGCACGCGGGTGCCAGAGCCACCAGCTGGCTCAGCTTGGACAGAGTGACAGAGCCGGGGCTGCCTCTGGTGGGCCCTGAGCTCTGCCCCGCCCAGGCACTGTCCCCATGGCCTGCGCCCCCCACACCCGAGAGGGAGGGCTGAGCCCCAGCCCCGCTGCCTGCCCCCTCCACCCCCCACCTGTGCGTCGGAGCGCAGAGCATGCACCGGTCTGGGGACGCACAACGGCCACCGGGTTTTTGGTTGCTGGTTTTGGTTTTGTGGGCCACTCCCAGCTGTCTCAGGGCTTCCTCCTGGCTCTGCTTTCGGGGGGTCACTCCCGGGGGCACTCGGGGTGCCGAGAGTCTAATGGGGGTCTCGCTGGATCGGGCGCATGCGAGGCAAATGCCCTCCCCTCTGTACTCTCACTCCGGCCCCTGAAGAGCTCTTTTTTGTTTTGCTTTGTTTTTTTTTTGGGGGGGTCACACCCAGTGACGCACAGGGGTTACTCCTGGCTCTGCCCTCTGGAATTACCCCTGGCGGTGCTCAGAGGACCATATGGGATGCTGGGAATCGAACCCGGGTCGGCCGCGTACAAGGCAAACGCCCTACCCGCAGTGCTATCACTCCAGCCCTGAAGAGCCTTTTTGTTTGGGGTCACACCCGGTGTTGCTCAGGGCTTACCCCTGGCTCTGCACTCAGGGGTCACTCCTGGCAGAGTTGGGGGCAGCATCACAGTGCTGGGGACTAACCCGGGATTTGACCCGGCAGAGGGCAGGCACCCTGCTCACTGCAGCAGCCCCGTGAAGAATCTTAGAGCTAATTTCTTCTGTGGTTTTGGGGCCATACCTGGTTGATGCTCCAAGCTGCTCCCTGCTTGTTCCTTGGGGTTTGCTCCGGGTGACACTAGCCGTGGGGGTCGACCATGCAGTGCTGGGCCCGATCTGGGGCTCACTCTGTGAAGCGTGCTACCCCAGACCATTGAGCTACCCCTGTTCTTTCTTTTCTTTTTGCTTTTTGGGTCACACCTGGCGATGCACAGGGGTTACTCCTGGCTCATGCATTCAGGAATCACTCCTGGCGGTGCTCAGGGGACCCTATGGGATGCTGGGAATTGAAACCGGGTCAGCCGCGTGCAAGGCAAACACCCTCCCCGCTGTGCTATTGCTCCAGCCCCCCCCCTTTTCTTTCTTTACCTTTTTTGGGGGTGCTGCACCCAGCGGTGCTCAGGGATCACTCCTGGCGGTGCTCGGGGAGACCATATGGGATGCCAGGGATCGAACCAGAACCAGGATAGGCTGTGTGCAACGCAAGTGCTCTGCCCACTGTACTATCTCTCTGGCCACAGCCTCATTTCTTTCTTTCTTTGGGCTATACTCGGTTGCTCAGGGCTGATTTCTGGCTCTGTGATCCTGGGGGGCTTGGGGCGAGTCGTACGTTTTGTCGGAGATCAGACTCAGGCCAGCTGTGAGGAAGGCAGCTGCCTCACTTGCTGTCCAGCCTCTCTGGCCCCCAACGCCTTATTTGATTCTCATTTTCATCTGGGGAAACAGAGGCATAGAGGGCTCAAGGGGAGGAATCCGGAGCTGAGGGTCGCATACAGGCTTACCCGTGTGGCCCGTGGCGTCTGAGAAGCTGACTTCCCAGCCGCCCCCCCCACCCCCGTTCCCCACTCATTCTGGCCAAGGGTCCTTGACCTCATCGGCAGCAAGTTGGTCACCTGCCCCGGGGGCTCCTGGGGGATCATTCGGCCTGGCCACTTGTGCCCACCCTGACCGGTGGCTCCCCCCTCCCTCTTTGCCGAACCCCCTCTTCCTCCACGCCGCTCCAGACTTGCTACGATGTCACTGAAGGTGGAGATAACACCAGAGACGGGGCAGCCTGGGGACTTATCTGGCCACAGGAAGTGCTTGGCAAGGGGAGAGGAGGCGAGCATGGAGCTGTGTGGGGGGGTGTGGGGGGGCAGAGGCCGGCATCAAGGTCCATTTTCTTTATCTTTCTCTGTTGGGATTTTGGGCCACACCTGGCAATGCTCAGGGCTTTTTTTTTTTTTTTTTTGACGCCGTGCTCAGGGGTCACTCCCCTGTGGGGTTGGGGGAACCAAGCGAGAGCCGACTGCATGCAAGGCCGGGGGCGCTCTGCCCGCCTGGCTCGCTCGACCCCAGGCTGCTTTTCTTTCCTTCCTCCTGACTGTGGAGCGGAGGAGGAGAGGCGAGAGGGCGGGAGCCTGTGGACTCGAGTCCCCTAGTGGAGGGCCAGAGTGAAACGGGGACCACGGGGTCCCACGGGGATTCATCTCAGCTTCCAAGGGCTGTCAGGCCTCCTCCTGTCCTGTTGGCCCCTTCTAGGGCCACCCCACCCCACCCTCCTGTTGCTACATTCTCCGACCCCCAGGGCATGCCTCTTGGTCACCGGGACTGCCCTGGCTCTAGACAGATCAGGGTGCTGTTGGTTTGGGGGGGCCACGCCTGGTGATGCTCAGGGTTGCTCCTGGCTCTGCACTCAGGAGTCACTCCTGGCGGGGGCCCAGGGGACCGAATGGCATGGTGGGGATGGGACTCCGCTTGTAAG